AGCTGAGAAGAAGATGATTCAAGTTTTTGATGCGCCCACGTTAACACTTGTGAACCTCGCGTGTATACTTGATTTGAGGCACTTAAAGTTGGAATTCGATAATGAGACTTACACAGTATCTTCTTTAAGTAATAAACTATTTTTTAAAACAAAAATAAAATTTGCTAAAAAAATTTTGGTTTACATGTATATCCCACCTTAAGTACCTCTGTTTCTAACAGCCTTGAGTTTTCACAAACAATTAAATATTATCCCTTACGAACTGTTTCACGCAATATGTTAAACTTATATCACATATACAATACCTGGTACCAAAACTTCAATACCAACAACTCAGACACATCGATGTACTCAAGCATAGCACAAGAAGAAATAACTTGTCTCGACCAAATAAAGTTTACCCGATTTCGATTGCGCCATACAAACCTAACACACAAGCATCAACTAGATACAACAACACAACGAAACTGCCCACTTTGCCATACATACTCCAGTCACTATCAATCACATCCTAAACCTTTGCCCTTTACCCATATGAAACAAAACATCATTAAAAACATAAACGACACCCCTCTACAGAAAACATTAAAATAACAAAATTTCTTAAAGAATCACAATTATATCACAATATTTAATACAAGAACAACAATAAAAATTGTACAAATTGTAAATAAAACACCATTAACCTTGTATATAGTCGATGGACCTGGCAGCTCGTACTATATATTTATATGTTAGTTTTAGTTAAAAAACATGTATATAATGTTGAGCCGGCTTGTGGTCAGGGAGGGGGTGGTGGAGTACCAAAATAAATGAAACACTTTTATTTTGATTTGGTCCGATGTATTTCGGTTGATCCACGTCAACCACGTGCTCAAATCGTCTTAGAATATCCTTCATTTTCTTATTGTAATCGTCCATTTCCATTGCTACCGTTTTATTTCCTTTGTCTGAAGCTAAAATCCTAATGTTGTTATTTTGCTTAAGAAATTTCCGTGTTCGTCCCACTGCGTCAAGTATTCCGCGGTCCATGCCAGTGTGGTTGTTGTTTCCTCGATTGTCTGTTATACGTAAAGAGAATTCCATGCACGTTGCTTCTTGTTCTTCTTTGTTTTTATTGACAATGGAAAAAAAAACAATGTTATCTACAAAATTCCGTGTAACGGTATTGACAACAGACCATGCAATAACATGTACTAGACGTCTGCATGAAACCACTCACAACATACGCTTTATTGAATACATTCGAATGAAATAGAATGGAATGAGTGGAATGCATGAAATGAAACGACATTGTATCAGGTATGCGTTCTCGCTTTGCTTCACAGCTTGGGACGTTGAACGAAATGAAAGAGAACGAATGACGCGAAAAAAGAAACAACCAATTTGGCAATGCGTGTTACATTCGAATGATTCGAGTTGTTGTGCACGGATTCGAATTTTCAGAGATCGCGGGTGAAAGACAGAGAAGCATGGAAGAACCCAAGACGGGAAAAGAAGCCGACGAATCTGTATTTTAGTTTAATGTTGCTGTTTTAAATTAAAGTTTTAATTTTAATATAATTATAACAATTTGTTTGTTTTTCGTGCGTAGATATTAACATGCGTTTAGTATTAACCAACGTGACCTGTCCATAAGTGTTTTTTGTGTTATATTTTTCAGAGTTAATTTAATTTGTTTGAAAAATATAGGTTGTGCAAAGCGCGGTGGATGTTAAAGAGGAGATTAAAAGTGGCATGTACACCTTGGTAGAAAAGAGAGGCAGAAGCGAAGTTTGGCAATTTTTCTCCAAAATTAAAAACCAAAATGGAGAAGAATTGGTCGATCTTGTAGCTTGTAAGATGTGCTACACTGTTTTGAAGTTTGCAGGAAGCACGTCTAACCTGGTCAAACACAAATGTTACGACGTTAATGCCATTAAATTCCGCAACGGTGCTCTATTAGATGTAAACAAAGCAACGAAAGACGAGGGCATAACTGTTGTAACAGAATGGGTACTTAAGAATTGCCGCCCACTTAAAATTATTGACGACTCTGGCATTAAGAAGTTTGCATCGTTTTTAATTAATGTTGGAGCAACATATGGTGCAAATGTTGACGTTAATAAGCTGTTACCACATCCAACAACCGTTTCCCGAAACATATCAACAATATATTCGTCCCACTTTGGCCCAATAAAATCGGAAATTGAAAAATATAAAGCCTTTGGGTACGCTATAACGAGTGACATATGGACAGACAACTATTTAAAAACTTCATATTTGTCGTGCACTGTACATTATATAAGAGAGGGAGTTTTGGTTTATCGCCTTATGGCCATGAAGTCAATGAAGGGCTCGCCCAGCACAGGTTTGTTAACCCCAACTTTATGTGTACAAGTATAATTCCAATTTATTCTTTATCAAGGTGTCAATATACGGACAAAAATAGAGGAAATATTGAAGGATTTTGGATGTGACCTCGTTCTTGACAAACCCGTAGTCGTAACTGATCGTGGGTCGAACATGATTAAAGCTTTTTCGGACTCGGAGAAAATTCATTGCGTCAACCACTTGCTCAACAACGCTGTTGAAAAAGCTATTAATGCTATTCCTGAGATGGAAAATATTGTCTCAAGTTGCAGCAAGTTGGTAAAATATTTTAAAAAATCAGGAAATAATTCATCGTTAGGAGTGTCTTTAAAGAGCTTTTGTCCAACTCGGTGGAATACCGTCTACTACTTGCTAAAGTCAATTGAAGTCAATTGGGTAGAGATAACAGATATTTTAAAAGAAAAAAATCAGGCCTGCAGAGTTGAGGGCATTAACATTAATTGTTTAGGTCCAATTGTACGATTGCTGGAAGTTTTTGAAAATGTGTCGAAAAAACTTGAAGCTTCTAAACGCCCAACTATTCATCTCATTTTGCCAAATTTAAATAAGCTAAAGAAAGCCTGCCAGATTGAATACTCTGACTATGACATAGACATAATTAAAAGCCTAAAGTTTGAACTCAATAACCAAATTTTAACAACTGTAACTCCAAATTTGTCAAAATACCACAACATAGCCTTGTTCCTTTTTCCTCCAACAAACAAACTTATTCAATTTACACCGACTGAGAGAGAGAGCATAATTAACGATTGCAAAGTTATTATGAATCACTTTCTCCAAATGAATTGCGAGATTATCAATAACGAATCCCAGTTGGTAGACGATGAATTTGCTGATTACTTAGAGGTCCCCAAATGCGAGACAACACAAGAAAAGGTGGAACAAGAGATTGCTGGATATATGAATATCAATGTTTCATACACGATGGACTTTTGTGCTTTAGCTTGGTGGCATATGAATAAGCTATTTTTTCCGCTGTTGCACAAGACAAGCTGCAAAATGTTTTGCATTCCAGCTAGCAGCGCGGCTTCGGAACGCACATTCTCAAACGCGAGAAATTTAATTACCGAAAAGCGTTCCCAAATAGCCATCAACTCTGATAGTATTAACAAAATAATGTTTTTGCATTCAAAATTAAGTTAGCTAAATCGTAAATTTGAAAATAAGTTTAAGAAAAAACTATGAATTTATATTTTAATTTATTTTTGTTATTGTTAATTTAGAAATTACTTTAAGAGAAAACCATGAAATTATGAATTTAATAGCCATGTTTTTTAGAAATAAGTTAAATAAAAAAGCCATGAATGTAGAAACTCATCAATTGCTTACGTATCAATTTAGACTAGGCAACAGCCAAACGTGGCGGTCGATCAAACCTTTTTTTTCTGAAACATTTGGTACTGTAGTGTTATTTACAGTTGCAACTCGAATCATTCGAATACAGCGTCTCAGTTTTCCGAGTTCTCATTTCATTCCATTCGTTTCTCCTTCTCTATTCTTTGTGCGGCCGAGTCCTACGTAAGCGAGTCAACTCATTCCATTTAGTTTGGCATTTGCTTCAAATTCACTCAACTCATTTTGAGCTTTGTGCATTTAAATGCCATTTTTTTGCCACTCATGTAGATGTCTAATATGTACAACAAAATCAAAATTAAAAACGAAAATAGCCCAACACAGATCAGACTACCAACTATAGCACCATACAAACATCAAAAACCTAGAAACTCTAACAAAGAGCAAATTCCCCGAAGAGTCTTTAAAATAAGGTAGAGGTAGGCGGTTTATATTAAATAGTAAGAATTGGGGACATATTAGGGCAAGAATATACAGAAAAACACCAACAACTATTTTGGGCATGTTTGTAGCTTTGGCGCCACATCTTAAATTTCATTTTTCAATTGAACCTCGCCAACCCTGTTTACATTTTTCGTAGTGTTGGTCAAATTTTCACTGTTAAGAAGAATAAATCAGCGTTGCACCGAAAAATTATGACCGCGGTCCATTTAAGAAAATTCGGAACGGCAAAACCTTATGGGCAGTTAGTTCAACGGACGGTGAATGCGCGTGTGGGAAGACCCTATTATATATATTATTTGTTAAACATTTATCATAGTTGCCCTGAAAATTTTTGGAATGAGTATATTATTTTTAAAAATTTACGAAACTATGCCAAAAAAATCAAAAGTTGGCTCCTATATTTTACCATATATGATAAAGTTTTGAATATTCAAATGTTTGGCCAGGAGATAGAATCGAAACAAATTGATTCTCGTAGGTTCTTCAAAATTAGGGTATTCACCATATTTTCTAGGAACCCTACGAAAGTCATTCTTGCTGGGTCACCTGGCCTATTTCTTTGGGTTGGGGTGATTTGCCCTATTCCAACATCTTGCTTGATTCACAGTATCTTATTTATATCCTTTATATCGTATTATACCTCTTGTATTTTTTAAGACTCCTATTTATAGGTAAGATAAGGTCGGGAAGTTTGTAGAGATTGAAACCGATAAATAATAGAGAAGTCTCGGGAACCACTTTACTTTTATAATAAACATTTTCACACTCAACAAGATTTTCATAGTCATTTATAAATATTTAATAATGTAATCTTTGTTTATTAATTTCAGATAAATCTGTGCGCACGAATGACGTAACAACGAACAGAAGTTGTGATGACATTGAATGGAGTTTTTAATGTGTTGAAATAATCTTTACCTAAAGGCCCCTTAATGCAAGGATGTTACTAACACAAATGCAGTTCTGAAATGTCAATATATATTTTTCACACAAATAGATGTAATTACCACATTCTTCAGTAAAACTAAAAATAAACTATAAATATCAGAATTAATTGTAGATTATGTATGTAAAACAATAATGAAAAGTATCTTTTATAAACCAAATCTAATATACTCCTGTGTTTATAAAATATCAATAAATAAATAATAAAGATCATAAATCAATATAATGTTTTAAATTAAAGTAACATTCACATTTTTATAGTGAGACATACCCACATAACATAAACATAGATTTATGTTTTTTTCAAACCAGAATGTTTTACTTTCAGAATGGTTCGGATTTAAGGATTTTAATAACTACCAGCTTAATTTTTAGCCTCTCATTAATTCAATCACTCACTCACTACGTGCTGCATCTTCCTGGGAAGGACTGCAGAATGTTAGTGGGTATTCTTACAGGTCACTGCCTGTCTGCTGCACAAGCTGGGTATTACCGACAACGCCAAATGCCGGAAATGTGATGAATCCGAGACAACCGAAACCTTGGAGCATCTCATTTGCAAATGTCCGGCCCTAACGAGGGCAAGAATGAGATACCTAGGCTCTCCAGTTCTGGCATCGCTAGAAGATGCCTGCAAGAGGAACCTAGGCGAACTCCTTGCCTTTGCGAAAAACACCTTGATATTCAAGGATCTCGAAACCCGCATAGCTATGGGTCATATTGGCCTATGTGTTGCCCCTCGAGGGACGTCCGGTCTAACCTAACCTAACCTAACCTAACCTAATTTAATCATCTGTGTTAAAAACACTCCTTTCAGATTCCGAAATAACCCATTAGTCTCATAAACTGACTTTGAGTAAAACCCAGCCCCATTAAACTAACCTTGCATGTGAACATCAAAGTGAAAACCAACTGCTTCACGGATGATCTGGAGATCTACAGGTTGGAGCGGTATTTCATCTTAACAAATGATCAAACCAATAATTTAAAAGTTGTTTTTGATCTTGATCTGCTTGTTAAACTACGCCTCAAGCTGGCACTCCATGGCCAGTCCCTCTTAGATCGCACCGGTACTTGCTGATTTTGCGATAGAGTTGCAGGAACTTAGTGGGGTCATCGAAATACTTGGCCATGCCACTGGTCATGTTCCCTGAGGTGTTCCAGGGTGAGACCAAAGACATTAGCCTCCGCGCATGCTCAGGTCTAAAGTTGACCGTAGCTATCTGTGTCCCGCCGAATGCTTTCCGCATCCTGGGTGCAGAGTCGCCTGGGATGTCGCAGTCTTCGCCAGCGAAAAGGGTGGTCATGTCCAGGTCGCGGATCTCCATCTGAACTATCTAATCCATGACAGTCACCTCCGCTTTGCCGGCGATGGCCGTCTTAATGGCAGCTTGTAACTGTTGCGTAGCTGGATCGATGGGCTTCTGCATCCTAAGCTGAAGCTCGCTATTAGCTACCCTTCGCACACCTTGCACGATATTCTTGAGTCCCTGTAAGGAGGGCTCAGTTTTTACTATCTTCAGCATGTCTGCTTAGGATCCTTCGTTGCATTTGATCAGGATAGTATCAGAGCGCTGTTTTCCGCTGATCTTAGCCCTGGTGTGGGGGTTCTTTGGCTTAGGCTTGGCTTTAACATGCTGCCATGCTGGCTTTCCTGGCCTGTCTGGGGGTGCATCTGTATGCGTCGTACCAGTCAGCGTCGGGGTTGTCTGCTGGCTTGCACATGAGGTGGTGCGCTTGGGGTGGGCGTCGGCCATCGCTTCTACAATTTCGAGCTGTAGCTTTCATATAGCCAGCATCGAGTCTATTGTCCTATGCGTGACGTGACGGACTACCTTTTTGTTGTTGCTTTTAGTGTCCGTGAACTTGTGCGCCAGGGTTTGTGCGCTAGTTTCGACCTTCTGCTTTTTGGCTCCGTCGTCAGGGCTCACAGCATCCCGGCTTCTTTTTGGGGTGGCCAACTCCTCTTCGTTATCGCCAAATACGAACACCGGGCCATGCATTTTCGGTGGTGCTGACGTCGGGTGCGTCTTCGTCGTGGTCATAGACGGCGAGCGTTGTATTTTCTGCTTTAGACGCTGAAAGTAACGTAGCAGCTCCTCCTTTGCTCTCGAAACGGCCAGTTCCTGGGTCTCGTCATCCCGGCCTGCTGGCAGCTTCTCCTTATTCATCGCACCTGCTCTTAATGGGGTCCCTCGGTGCGCGGGGATTTCCGCCCTGCGGATGCCTGATGGGAGTTATACCGCTCCGTCTCGGTCCCCAGAGCCCCTTTTTAATTGGCGCCGACTTATCGGAGGGGTTGGAAAATGGAGAGTTCCTTCGCCTTGCGCTCTTAGCCCCACTAAAGCCAACTGCGGAATGTGAAATGACAATTAACCCGAATTTAAACCCAAATCCAAGCTCGATTTAAACCTTGAATTTAAGTAAAATTAAGTCTCGATCTAACTAAAATCTAGACTTCAAATCTAAATAGAATTTAAATCCGACTTATAGCCCAATTCAAATTTAAGTGAAGTTTATTTTAAAAATCAATGTTTAGATTTAGATCTGAACCCAAGATCAATCCCAAGTTCTGAACCTAATTTAAATTGTACTTAAAATTAAATTAACTCCCAATTTGGATCAGATCCCAATTCCAATTAAAATTCAATGCACAGTTTGGATATAAGCGAACCTTAATTCAAAATAAATTAAAAATTTAGACCAACTCTAGGCCCAAGATCAAACAAGTTTAAGGTTAACTTAACTTTAGATTCCGACTTTAAAGTTTAAATCTTGGTTTTACCCTAGATTCAAACCTTAATTTATAATATATCCAAATCTAAATCAAGTTAAAATGATTCTCAGTTGAACTGGATGCCAGTTTACATCTAAATTAAAATTAAGTTCCAATTTAACTCCAATTCAGCCGCAGCCGGAGAACAATTTTGCGTGTGCGCTTCTCTCAGTCCCAACTGCAAGCCTGAGTATATAATTTAAAATGTTCGTTACATTTATAATTATATATTGAATAATTATTATTATTAAAGATGGCGCCCAACGTGGGGCCACGTAATTCTTACGTTGCTTCAGAAACAAATAGACATTTTAACCAATTTTGATGGTTCGGTATGAACTTTTAGCAAAGGCAAGTAAATTTTTACTTTCGTTGCAAATATTGAGTCGTTCCGATTTGTCACTCATCGCAGCTTCAAACCTCGGGTGGAACTTCACTCAAACGCATCGGATCACGGAGAGACAAAATCTTGAGAGATTTGTCGTCCGACCACGGTTGAGTGGAATTGCAAGCGAGGAAGAAAAGCTCAACCAGATACTCTACAATTCAACTAGTGTCAATAGGTCTGTCCATTAAACGCATAGGAATTGCAGTCGGTGAGGTTTCATAATTGCATTGATTGACCACGGGTAATGGACAAACACAACCCACCAAATTTCCATCTAATAAAAAAACAGATAATTTCGCCATTAGTCGCTTCGGAAAGCAGTGCATTTTTTTTCTAAAGAGTTCGCTGACCACGATGAAAGGCGAAACCGATATGCTCAACTTTGCAGAGTGCGAAGGCGCAGGTGGCGCTTAACATATGATAAGCGCCAGGCGTCTAGCACAGGCAGTGTTGTTGTTTTGTCTTTTTCCTTCTTTCCTGTTTCTGCACTTGTCTCATATTCCCAGGGGGATTAGTCACGCTCGACGTCAAATTTGATTTATTACAATTGTTTTTGTTATTTCCGAATTCTTGTGGTTTTGTCTGTTCCGAGTAAATTTTTTTTTTTCATGCTTATGGTTCTGATTTCGTGATCGGCTGATCTTTTGATCTTTTCTTTGTCGTTTGCCGCTTTGAAGCCCGATTAAAGTTTGAGCGTTTGAGAGCGAGCTCATACCATTCCTGAGCGTAAGCGGTAAAGCTGGTCAGGCGTTTAGACAGAGAGTTCAATGACCTCGTACAAGCAAAAGCAGATAAGAAACTCTTATGTCAGTGATTTAGTTGGCATTTTAAAATCAATTAATTCGGCAAGCAGTTCAAAGTAAAAACAAACAAAATTTATACAAGAAAAACAATAATAAATAAAAATTAAATAGAGAACAATTATTAATATTACATTTTAATTATATTTTATATTTTATATTCACATTTATATTTTAGCATAAATATTTTTATTTGGGTTTAATTATATTGTCATAAAAATAATTTAGAAAATCAATATGGAAGAATCAGAGAGTAGTAGTGCACCTATTTGTCCGCTATGCAAAGCTGAATTAGCTGCTGCATCCACTTACACAACTAATTGCGGGCACCAGTTCCATCAGACCTGCGTAGCAGCATATTCTAAATCGAGTACTAAATGCCCTACTGGCTCTGCAATTTGTTTTGAAATACCGGCTACTCCATCCCAGAACACTAGAAGGCAAAAGGGGCAAGTTTTGGCTGTCAGCGACCCAACACCAGGTGGCCAGCGAAATACTCAAGTCCTGGGTACCGCGCAAACTGAGCTGATCGAAAATACAGTCATCAGCGCAGTACAGGCCATGCAAAACGACTTGCTTGCTCAATTGAGTGATAAAATGGCCCAGTTGTTCCAAACCAACTTGGCTGGCCATTATCAGCCAGGAGGAGGGACAAACCCTGGAGCTGAAACAGTCCTAGACGGTGATAACCGTCCTCTATTTGACCACCGTAGAGAGCTAGCAGGTTCCAGACGCGATACGCCCAGAAGTTTCGCTTCAGAATTCTATCGGGTCGAGGCTCTTACATACCAGACTCTGGAGGGGAACTTCGCCATTCTCAGCAGCAATGCAAGCCTTTTGTTTGAGGGAAAGGCTAGGGAGTTTTATTGGCGGTGCCACAAAAAGCTGACCGAACTATGGTGGGATTATCTTTGCACGGCATTGAGAAGACAGTTTAGGGATGGTCGGACGGATATAGACATCAGGGAGGCAATTCGCGATTGGAAACAAAAAGAAAAGGAAGGGTTCGACGAATTTTATGAGGCCTTGTCCGAAATGATGGATGCGCTTAAAATGCCCTTGACGGAGCTGGAAGTTGTGGAGATTTTAAGGCGGAATTTGAGGCCAGACATTAGACATGAGATTCTGAATTTGCAAATCAAAACTGTGGAAAATTTAAGAGAAGTTTGTCATCGCAGGGAAAACTTTCTTGAGGATTTGCGAAAGACCCAGGGATACCAAAGGTCGGTGTCAGTCCGTAGGCCAGTCGCAGAGCTAGTCGAGGGGGCACCGTGGGAAGACGCAGAGGAGTTTTCGGAAGAGGAAGTTGGTCAGGAAGTTGGGGCGGTAGCACTCATTTGTTGGAATTGCCACAAAGAGGGCCACCGGTACCAAGACTGCGGATCAAAAAGAAAAATTTTCTGCTATGGTTGCGGGGCTAAAAACGCGTATAAAACGACCTGTGTTCGCTGTCAAAAAAACGGGATTTCGAACACAGGCAGCAGCCGCTTGCAGTCCTGTGTTCTCAGAAACAAGGCGACACACACGGAGACGAGTCAGCAGTAGGATCTGATCAGTCTGAGCCAGTAGGAGATAATAGGGTGCAGCCACATGGAGTTTTGGCCAAAAATAGTTAGTAAGGAGATAAATTTAAATAGTTATTTAGTAGAAAACTCAGTTATTTCAAGGAATGCAAAAAGGATGAAAGAATTTTGGAAGACAGTCCGAACAGTGAATTCCATTCGATTCAAAGCTAATGATCAGCGTCCCTATGCCGAGGTCTGGTTGCTGGATAGAGTAGTGGTCGGATTGTTGGATACCGGGGCGGCGATCAATGTTATTGGTGGCCACTTAGCAAAACAGGTCATATGCAGTGGAGTAAAATTTAAGAGAGCGGCCACGGTAGCCCACACGGCAGATGGGAAAACGCAGAACATTGTGGGAAGATTTAAGACTCAGGTCACTTTCAAGGATATAACTAAGGAAGTAGAGTTTCACATAGTCCCTTCTCTGAATCAAGATCTGTATTTGGGAATCCAGTTTTGGTCAGATTTTAAGTTGCTCCCGGAAAATATGTAGATCGCTGAGATTACATCGGATTCCCATAGTCTCTCTGAAAGCCAACAAGGCAGTCTTAGTGCTGTGGTGGCCAAATTTCCTTCGTTCGCTATCTCAGGTTTGGGGAAGACAAATTTGCTCTCGCACGAAATCGATGTGGCGGAAGCCAAACCCATAAAGCAGCGTCACTTCCCTGTGTCTCCCGCTGTCGAGAAGCTGCTATATGCGGAAATCGACAGGATGTTCGAAATGGGAGTGATAGAGGAGTCCCAGAGCGCTTGGTCGTCGCCAGTTGTTCTCGTCCAAAAGCCAGGAAAGGTTCGACTGTGCTTAGACAGTCGAAAAGTGAATGCGGTGACGACAAAAGATGCATATCCCCTGCCGCAGATCGATGGCATATTGTCGAGGTTGCCAAAGGCGATGTTTATCTCCAGTCTAGATCTAAAAGATGCGTATTGGCAGATCCCTCTTGACCCCAAGTCTCACGGCTTTTACCGTCCCAGGAAAGCCGCTCTACCAATATAAGGTGATGCCATTTGGTCTGACTAACGCATCTTAGACGATGACGCGGCTAATGGATCGAGTCATACCCGCAGATTTGAGGAATGAGGTTTTCGTTTATTTAGATGACCTTCTAGTGGTCTCTGACACCTTTGAGAGGCATTTGCGAGTGTTGGGATTGGTAGCTGATAGAGTTCGAGCAGCTGGTTTAACTCTAAACGTAGAGAAAAGCCACTTTTGCATGAAGTCAGTGAAGTATTTGGGGCATATTGTTGGTAACGGAGTTATACGTACTGACCCCGAAAAATATCTGCGATGTCCGAATTCCCACTCCCGAAAAGTTTGAAATCCCTTCGTAGCTTCTTAGGGATGGTTGGGTGGTATCGCAAATTCATGAGCAATTTTGCCTCTGTGGCTGCTCCGTTGACAGACTTGCTCAAGCCTAGGAAGAAATTCCATATGACGCCAGAAGGTGAGAAGGCATTTCAAGAGCTGAAAAATATGTTGTGTTCGGCTCCTGTGCTTCGTGCAATGCGATGCATCTAAGACAGGAGTAGGTGGAGTTTTAGTGCAGAAGACAGAGCAAGGGGATGAGTATCCAATTGCTTTCGTATCTAAGAAGCTCAATAAGGCACAGAGAAATTATTCTGTCACTGAGCAGGAGTGTCTGGCGGCTATAGCCTGCATTAAGCGGTTTAGGCCGTATATTGAGGGACACGAATTTACAGTTATCACGGACCACGCTTCTCTTAAATGGCTAATGTCCCAAACTGACCTGCACTCGCGCTTAGCCCGTTGGGCATTAAAGCTGCATGGCTTTAATTTCAAAATAGAGCACCGCAGTGGGAGGCTCAATGTGATGCCAGATGCTCTATCAAGAGTAAACGAAGCAGAAATGGCCAGCATTGTAGCGAGCCAGGGTTTAATGGTGGATCTTCAGTCGCCAGAGTTTAAATTCGGGAGATATGTCGAGTTGTTAGAGCGAGTTAAGGCTAATGAGGAGAAGTTGCCTGACCTAAAAGTAAGGGATGGACTATTATACCGAAGATCCGAGCACGCAACAGGGGATCCTTTGTATGATACCTTTGTTTGGAAGCTGTGGATACCAGCAGGTTTAGTGCCTGAGGTATTAAAGAAAAATCATGGTGATCCTCTTGCTTCGCATGGTGGTATCCATAAAACGCTTGAACGGATTCGGCGTTACTACTATTGGCCCAGCTTAGTAAACGATGTAAAATCGTATATCCAATCCTGTGAAGTCTGTAAGACCACCAAAGCGCCGAACAGGACTCAGCGACCGCCAATAGGCGTTGCGCCTGAGTCGCAAAGATTTTTCCAGCGTTTGTACATTGATTTCCTTGGACCCTATCCACGCTCTCGTAGCGGCAATGTTGGGATATTTATTGTGCTGGACCACTATTCCAAGTTTGTGTTCCTGAAAGCCGTAAAGAAACTCACGGCGGATGTTGTCCTCAAGTATCTGCAGCAGGAATTGTTCCACACTTTTGGAGTGCCGGAGACGTTAGTGTCCGATAATGGTTCTCAATTTAGGGCTGAGGCGTTTCAAAAGTTCTTGAGGGAGCATGAGATCTCGCACACTCTAACAGCCGCGTATAGCCCACAGGCGAACGCATCTGAAAGGGTGAATCGTTCGGTGATCGCTGCGATTCGATCCTATGTTAGAGCAGACCAAAAAGATTGGGACGAGCAGCTAAGTAGCATTTGTTGCGCCCTTCGCTCAGCAGTGCATTCGGCAATCGGTACAACCCCATATTACATGGCGATCGGACAGCACTTCATGACGTCCGGGTCGTCATATAAACTGTTAAGGCTATTGGGCCTGTTGGAGGACAGGTCGGCAGTTTATTCTCGAGGGGATTCTTTGGAATTGGCGAGGCTAAAGGCAATGGAGGTGATGGGCAAACAGAATGCGAAGAACGAGCGTCAATACAATTTGCGAGCTAGGGACGTGGTTTACGCTGAAGGACAGGAAGTTTATAGGAAGAACTTCAAGCAAAGCAGTTTTCCGGCCGGATACAGTTCCAAACTGGGACCCGCTTATATAAAGGCGAGAGTTCGGAAGAAGCTTGGCAATTCCTGCTATGAGCTGGAAAATTTGAATGGTCGAACTGTAGGGCGGTTCCATGCGAAGGACATGAGGCAGTAGACCGGATAGGCTACAAGCCTTGGGTGGATCAGCCTTCGGGTGTCTAACCCCAAGTCTGCTCTTCAGAGGGGGCTTTTGTAGCGCTTTTAGCATGAGAGTTGGTTTTTAGCGCCACCTAGGGGTGGGTGAGCGACGTAAGAAGGAGGAAAGGTAGATCAGGAAGGGAGAGTAACAGAGTGAAATGTCAACCTGCTCTGGGGCACATCTCTCCTTTTGGACTCGGGAAGGGGATAGCCGCCAGAAAGTTGGCGTCGGTTCGATCTTTCCCAATCCATCCTTCAAGCGGTCGAGAAGTGCCAACAAGCGGACAGACCCTAAGGGAGAAACACTTTAGTACCAGCTATACCAGCCTTTCCGCTAAATAGAGCGAGGTGAGTTGGCGAAAAAAAAGGAGAAATAAATAGGTTTATCTGACAGGGGCCTGCCCAATTTATTATACAGGTTGCGGCAGCAGAAAGCGAGTATTTCGTCAAGGAAAATCCCCATCAGCGCAGAAGCCAGCGCCAAGATCAGCCACCGGGAAAGAAAGAGAGAAAATAGCGCTCCGGAGTGGTTTAAAAAAGCGCTCAATTGCGAGCGCTGTGGCCACGAAAGGAGGGCCAATAAAACGCTCAGGCCAGTCGTCGCGGAAGCGCTCGCCGGAGCGCCTTAATTCGGCGGAGTTACTCCAAATCGTCAAGCAGAGACGAAAGTTCCTTTTTTTTGCTGTGCTTAGGAAAACCGACCGAATTTATTTGCCAAGTGTTGTGAGAAAAACTCGAGCTCTTAACTGGGGAAATCCCGACCCAGGAAAAGGGAAAAATTTCGCTGAGAAAAAATATAACATAACCTGCCAGTGCCACATAAAAATTTTGAGTGGAAAAAAAAGGGAAGAAAAAGTAAAAAAAAAAAAACGAACTAGAGAAAAAAAAAGAGAAAGAAAATCTCGAAGAAAAAAAAATGAAGCTGATTTAGATTTAGTTAGTTAAATTTATTTATTAATTTTTTTTAAGTGAAATGAGCCGAGAGTGAAGAGAAATTTGTTCAATTTAATTGGCCAATGGGCGAAGGCATGTAGAGGCAAGAATCGAGAGAGTTTAGTTTTTGTGTTGTAATTTTTCGTCTCTGCTCCGGTCGTGTAATTTTTATTTAATGTTTCTTTTGAAAGTGTGATCTTTGACCCCCCCTCCAAATAACATTCTTAGCGTTGCAGCCTCCTGAAAGCGCTTTCATCGAGGGATCTGTTTGTGGGGAAGACAACGAATATGCCACCCTTTGGTTTATAATAAAAACGCACGATAGGTAATTTAATATAAGCCGTGTTTAATGTTTGTGTTCTTTACTCGGATCTGCAGACTGTGTGTATAAAAAGCTTGGCTTCAATATATATACATGTTTATGGGATAACAAATGTAGTTTTGCTGATAGATAACGCGACAGCTTTAGCGAGATAAGAAAAGAGTAGCAAAGAGAAAACATAAGAGCGCTGCAGGTGCAGCGGCACACCTATGCGCTCGTGACTAGGTGCCGGCGGTCTGCTCCGAACATACTCCCCCCGTTGGAAGAGGTACGGTTCCAACCATCTCGGAATCGATGAGCAGAGCGGCTAGTTTGGCGACGGCTCTCTTGATAAGACCCGTAGCGGTACGGACCATAGCTACTCTGATGACGCCGTCTCCGCCGGGTATGACGTCCTCGATGCACCCAAGCTGCCATTTCAATGGGGGAATGTTGTCATCCTTCAGCACCACTATGACTATGCTTCCAACCTTGATGTTGGACGTTTCGACGCGCCACTTGCTCCTTTCTTGAAGAAGGGACAAATATTCGCTGCTCCATTTTTTCCAGAAGTGTTGTTGCATCTGGGTCACCCGTTGCCATCTGCTGAGGCGGCCTTCGCGAAGATGAGTGATGTCAGGCTCAGGAAATTTTGTGAAGCTGGAACCCTTCAGGAAATGCGCAGGCGTTAGCACCTCAAGGCTCTCAGCATTTTCTGAAATTGGACAGAGTGGACGGGAGTTAAGGATGGCAGAAATCTCATAGGCAAGAGTTCTTAATTCATCGATGGCTAAGACGGATGCACCGACGACTCTGTAGAAGTGATATTTGGCCGACTTCACAGCGGCCTCCCATAAACCACCGAAGTGCGGGGCACGCGGAGGGATGAACTTCCAATCGATCCCATCAGCTAAACAGGCCGAAGATATCGATGCCGTGTGTTGCATGAGATCTCGCACACTCTAACAGCCGCGTATAGCCCACAGGCGAACGCATCTGAAAGGGTGAATCGTTCGGTGATCGCTGCGATTCGATCCTATGTTAGAGCAGACCAAAAAGATTGGGACGAGCAGCTAAGTAGCATTTGTTGCGCCCTTCGCTCAGCAGTGCATTCGGCAATCGGTACAACCCCATATTACATGGCGATCGGACAGCACTTCATGACGTCCGGGTCGTCATATAAACTGTTAAGGCTATTGGGCCTGTTGGAGGACAGGTCGGCAGTTTATTCTCGAGGGGATTCTTTGGAATTGGCGAGGCTAAAGGCAATGGAGGTGATGGGCAAACAGAATGCGAAGAACGAGCGTCAATACAATTTGCGAGCTAGGGACGTGGTTTACGCTGAAGGACAGGAAGTTTATAGGAAGAACTTCAAGCAAAGCAGTTTTCCGGCCGGATACAGTTCCAAACTGGGACCCGCTTATATAAAGGCGAGAGTTCGGAAGAAGCTTGGCAATTCCTGCTATGAGCTGGAAAATTTGAATGGTCGAACTGTAGGGCGGTTCCATGCGAAGGACATGAGGCAGTAGACCGGATAGGCTACAAGCCTTGGGTGGATCAGCCTTCGGGTGTCTAACCCCAAGTCTGCTCTTCAGAGGGGGCTTTTGTAGCGCTTTTAGCATGAGAGTTGGTTTTTAGCGCCACCTAGGGGTGGGTGAGCGACGTAAGAAGGAGGAAAGGTAGATCAGGAAGGGAGAGTAACAGAGTGAAATGTCAACCTGCTCTGGGGCACATCTCTCCTTTTGGACTCGGGAAGGGGATAGCCGCCAGAAAGTTGGCGTCGGTTCGATCTTTCCCAATCCATCCTTCAAGCGGTCGAGAAGTGCCAACAAGCGGACAGACCCTAAGGGAGAAACACTTTAGTACCAGCTATACCAGCCTTTCCGCTAAATAGAGCGAGGTGAGTTGGCGAAAAAAAAAGGAGAAATAAATAGGTTTATCTGACAGGGGCCTGCCCAATTTATTATACAGGTTGCGGCAGCAGAAAGCGAGTATTTCGTCAAGGGAAATCCCCATCAGCGCAGAAGCCAGCGCCAAGATCAGCCACCGGGAAAGAAAGAGAGAAAATAGCGCTCCGGAGTGGTTTAAAAAAGCGCTCAATTGCGAGCGCTGTGGCCACGAAAGGAGGGCCAATAAAACGCTCAGGCCAGTCGTCGCGGAAGCGCTCGCCGGAGCGCCTTAATTCGGCGGAGTTACTCCAAATCGTCAAGCAGAGACGAAAGTTCCTTTTTTTTGCTGTGCTTAGGAAAACCGACCGAATTTATTTGCAAAGTGTTGTGAGAAAAACTCGAGCTCTTAACTGGGGAAATCCCGACCCAGGAAAAGGGAAAAATTTCGTTGAGAAAAAATATAACATAACCTGCCAGTGCCACATAAAAATTTTGAGTGGAAAAAAAAGGGAAGAAAAAGTAAAAAAAAAAAAAAAAACGAACTAGAGAAAAAAAGGAGAAAGAAAATCTCGAAGAAAAAAAAATGAAGCTGATTTAGATTTAGTTAGTTAAATTTATTTATTAATTTTTTTTTAAGTGAAATGAGCCGAGAGTGAAGAGAAATTTGTTCAATTTAATTGGCCAATGGGCGAAGGCATGTAGAGGCAAGAATCGAGAGAGTTTAGTTTTTGTGTTGTAATTTTTCGTCTCTGCTCCGGTCGTGTAATTTTTATTTAATGTTTCTTTTGAAAGTGTGATCTTTGACCCCCCCCTCCAAATAACATTCTTAGCGTTGCAGCCTCCTGAAAGCGCTTTCATCGAGGGATCTGTTTGTGGGGAAGACAACGAATATGCCACCCTTTGGTTTATAATAAAAACGCACGATAGGTAATTTAATATAAGCCGTGTTTAATGTTTGTGTTCTTTACTCGGATCTGCAGACTGTGTGTATAAAAAGCTTGGCTTCAATATATATACATGTTTATGGGATAACAAATGTAGTTTTGCTGATAGATAACGCGACAGCTTTAGCGAGATAAGAAAAGAGTAGCAAAGAGAAAACATAAGAGCGCTGCAGGTGCAGCGGCACACCTATGCGCTCGTGACTAGGTGCCGGCGGTCTGCTCCGAACATACTCCCCCCGTTGGAAGAGGTACGGTTCCAACCATCTCGGAATCGATGAGCAGAGCGGCTAGTTTGGCGACGGCTCTCTTGATAAGACCCGTAGCGGTACGGACCATAGCTACTCTGATGACGCCGTCTCCGCCGGGTATGACGTCCTCGATGCACCCAAGCTGCCATTTCAATGGGGGAATGTTGTCATCCTTCAGCACCACTATGACTATGCTTCCAACCTTGATGTTGGACGTTTCGACGCGCCACTTGCTCCTTTCTTGAAGAAGGGACAAATATTCGCTGCTCCATTTTTTCCAGAAGTGTTGTTCCATCTGGGTCACCCGTTGCCATCTGCTGAGGCGGCCTTCGCGAAGATGAGTGATGTCAGGCTCAGGAAATTTTGTGAAGCTGGAACCCTTCAGGAAATGCGCAGGCGTTAGCACCTCAAGGCTCTCAGCATTTTCTGAAATTGGACAGAGTGGACGGGAGTTAAGGATGGCAGAAATCTCATAGGCAAGAGTTCTTAATTCATCGATGGCTAAGACGGATGCACCGACGACTCTGTAGAAGTGATATTTGGCCGACTTCACAGCGGCCTCCCATAAACCACCGAAGTGCGGGGCACGCGGAGGGATGAACTTCCAATCGATCCCATCAGCTAAACAGGCCGAAGATATCGATGCCGTGTGTTGCTCGCTCAAAAAAAGCACCTTCAGCTCGGCAAGCTCGCTCTTTGCACCGACAAAGTTCGTAGCATTGTCACTCCGAATGGTACGCGGACTGCCTCGAAGGCTGATTAATCTCCTCAGCGCTGCGATGAAAGAATCCGTCGTGAGATCCTGAACCACTTCCAAATGAGCGGCCTTCGTGGAAAAGCAGACAAAAACAACGATGTAGCACTTGTGGGGTGCCTTATTTCTGGTCTCTGCTTTATGATAGAATGGCCCACAATAGTCCACACCTGTTGTATGAAAAGCTGGATTAGGCTGCACTCGATTTGCTGGCAGGCTACCCATGACGTGCTCCCAAGTCACAGGCTTCATTCGGAAACATCGGAAGCATTTGTTGATGACGCTGGCGACGAACTTGCGGCCTCCTATCGGCCAGAACCTTTGCCGTAATGCAGCCAGCAACGCCTGTGATCCTGCATGCAAATATTTTCCATGATAATAAACGATGATTGCCTTGGTGACTGGATGATCCTTGGGCAACAGTATCGGATGCATCGTATCGTAGCCCAAGTTTGCGTTCTGAAGTCTTCCACCAACTCGAAGTAACCCGTCGGATCCGATTATAGGCCTAAGCGAAATCAGCTTGCTTTTCTGTGGACAAGGCTTGCAATGGCTAAGAAATCCATACTCCTTCGCCAAGTTAACCTGTTGGATGCTCCTCAAAAGAAGTACAGTTCCAGAGTTGATCTCCTCCACCGAAAGACGTCCTTTTAACGGCGCACATTTGGCTCTGCAATTTGAAATGAACCGATAAATGTATGCAAATACTCGCTGCAACTTGTCGAAAGAGTTCAGGTATTTGCAGTTTGAAGGACTATCCATGCAAACGGTCCCAATTAGAGTCGCAGAACGGCGCTCTGGAAGATCCTTTACTACATCCAGCAGGGACGGCCAATTCGACGAACTTTGCAAAAGGAATGGAGGCCCATTAGCCCAAAGGGAATGCTCCAACAATTCCCTCGGGGTACATCCTCGCGATACGACGTCCGCCGGGTTTAAGGCTGTAGGAACGTGATGCCAAGTCATTTCTTTCGTCATCTCCTGAATTTTCGCGATCCTGTTCGATACGAAAACGTTAAACTCCCTCGGAGGTTGCCGAATCCATGCTAACACAATAGACGAGTCCGACCAACAATGAAAGGCGCAATCAAAATCTATGGTTTCCTTGACGTTTACGATTAACTCAGCCAATAAAAGCGCTGCAGAAAGCACTAATCTTGGAATTGTTAAGGCCTTCAATGGAGCTACTCTCGACTTGGCACAGAGCAGATGGACTTTCAATTCTCCATTGGTCTCTGATCGCAAGTATAAACACGCTCCATAAGCTGATATGCTAGCATCGCAGAATCCATGCAACTCAACGGAAGCCCTTGGCTGTAGCACAAATCGTGGAAATTTTAAGTTCTGTACGACCGCTAACTGTGAGGTCAACTCCCCCCATGACGAAAGAATGGGCTCTGGCAGTGCGTCATCCCAATCCACGTTCGCACTCCATAGAGATTGCAAAAAGATTTTAGACCTTGTGACAATTGGAGTTATTAGACCAAGCGGATCGTAGAATTTGGCTATTGTTGACAATGCAACCCGCTTGGTGGGTCGTTGATTGGTTGGCAGTTGAGAAAAATTAAATAGGAGTTCATAAGAAAATGGATCCCAGACTAGTCCCAATGCCTTGGCGATATCCGATACATCATGAAATTTGATTAGCTGCTCCTTGTCGCAGTCAGACTCTCCTTCTAGGGCTGGTGACTCATTCGAACACCATTTGCGGATTGGAAAGTGGCCTCGCGACAGTAGTTCCTTCACCTGACGACGAATTTCTCTCACCTCCTCAACTGATTCCCCACCAGAGATTAAGTCATCCACATAGAAATCTCTACGAACAATTCTTGCTCCAATAGGAAATGATTCCTCCTCATCGTAAGAGAGTTGATGCATGGCTCTTATAGCCAAGAAGGCAGCAGGCTTAGTTCCATAAGTTACCGTGTTCAATTTAAAAACACTCAACTCATCCGTGGGGTTCTCTCGCCAAACGATACACTGCAAAAAGTCATCCGGGTGCGAAACACACACGCAACGGTACATCTTGCAGATATCTCCACAAAGGGCAACTTTAAAAAATCGAAAGCGAAGCAGTATGTTAAAGATTTTCTGCTGAATAGTTGGCCCTGCAAGAAGTAAGTCGTTAAGAGAGCTACCAGAAGTCGTTTTGGCAGATCCATCAAACACGACACGAAGCTTCGTGCTCGTGCTCTCCTGCTTATGCACGCAATGGTGAGGCAAAAAGAATTGTGGTACCGATGGTTCCTTTTTAACAAGAGACATGTGGCCTAAATCGATATACTGCCTCAAAAATGCTGAATACTGAGCTTTCAGGGTTGGGTTTCTATCCAGTTTGGCTTCCAAACTCCTAAAACGACGACGAGCCAAGCAATAAGAATCACCTAGAGATTCGAATCCTGAAGTAGACAAGAGCCGAACAGAGTATTGACCGTTTCCAAGTCTAGTGCAATTTTGATTGAAAAGTTGCTCGCATCTCAAATCTTCCGGCAATAATGATGGCTTTGACGAAGTGAAGTCCTCAATTTCCCAAAATCGCTTTACTATGGCGGCGAGTGTGTCATCAGGATGATCATCAGGGTCCTTGACTATAGCTGCTAAAACCGATTTGTGACTTGGCATACTCGATATCCCTCCAGAGACTATCCAACCAAGTTTGGTGTTCTGAAGAGTAGGCAAAGTCCTGTCCAAATG